TGACATGACCCGAAAACCCAACTCGAACACGACACGGAATTTTTGGGTTGAATACGACCCGTTTGGAAAACGGGTCGGGTTCGGGTTCATAAAAATGACACGAATTGAATTTCGGGTCGGGTTCGGGTTAACCCGATAACCCGTTAAACGACCCATTTGGCACGCGAATTTATTTCACGCGGAGCGCGTGCGGAATGCGGATTACTTATGTCGTGTTAGTGTTTATGCCATCCATTCTCATTTCACGCGCCGTAGCTCTCCTTTCCTTCGCTGCTTCGTCCAGGGTTTCCGAAGTTCCGTTTCTTCTCTACAGATCTCCTTGATCTGTCTCTGGTTTCCTCTTTTCTCCTTCTATGCCATATTCTTGGTCCGTGGTTTTGTGGTGTTCATCGTGCACATCTGCTTTGGCTCAACAGGAACACTTACATCTCTCGTTGTTTGTATCTCTTATCTTTTTTCCTTTCTTCTCCTTTTAGAAGCATGATATATGAGCATATGAGAGATTTCTCTTGCTGTGTTGCGAAGTTCCGGCTCGATTTTCTTGTTTTTTGGGGTTAGGGTTTTTCGATATTCTGGTGCAAACGAGCAAAGTCGAGCTCGATTTTCTGATTTTTTTGGTCAATTTTGGCTGGTTTTTTTGCTTGTTTACTACAGTTATGCACTTATGTTCACTTACTGCTATTATTTCTGTGTAATCGAGCCATGTCGAGCTCTATGTTCTGGTATTTGTGTGCAATTTATGTTGTTATTTCTATGCAAACGAGCTAGGTCGAGCTCTATGTTTTTTCATTTCTGTGCTGTTTCTACTGTTATTTCTGTGCAGTTTCTACTATTACTTCTGTGCAGTTTCTGCTGTTATTTCTGTGAAGCTTCTACTATTATTTCTGGGCACTTTCTGCTATTATTTCTGTGCAGTATCTACTTTTATTTCTGTGCAGTTTCTGCTGTTATTTCTATGCAAAAGAGCCAGGTCGTGCTCTATGTTCTGGTATTTCTATGCAGTTTCTGCTGTTATTTCTGTGCAGTTTCTACTGTTATTTCTGTCCAGTTACTGATGTTTTTACTGTTCAGTTATTGCTCCTAGTTAACACCCATACACTCCTAATTATTTTGATGAGTTGTTGTTCAACAACACATTAAGAATTTGCAATTATTTGGCCGTTATTAGTTATTACTAAGTATTTGGAGTAACAAGCCTTCAACCCATTAAGTATTGAAGTCATACTTCTTTTTAGTGTAGGATGGTTGGCTTGTGCAGTTAGTTGGCCATTATAAAGTCTCAATGTGTTATGTGTATTTTTTTGAAAGAGAAATTTAACAAATAGCATTGTGAAGTTGTAATATTTTCTATTTTTTTTTGTTAGATGGAGGATTCCAATGCCATTCATGGGAATTCTTTTTTTGCTGAAAATGAAGAACCCCAGACTTGTGAAATACGTGTAGAGCCCTCTAACGAGCAATGTAATGATGTGATAGTTACTAAGAAACGGCGAAGAATGACCTTAGTTATTTTGGGCCATTATGAGATGTTACCTAATACGAAAGATGGAAAACAAAAATGTAAATGCAAGAATTATGGTACTACTTATCTATGTGATAGCAAAAGTGGAACCGGTAATCTTAGACGCCACCTCGAAAAATATAAGAAAAGAAATATGCGTGATATAGGACAGTTGATATTACAAACCAACACTGAATCTCAGTAATTGGATGAACATCAGTTTATGACTTTTGTGAATTTATTTGCTATCTAATTTTTCTTTAAATTGATGTAATGAACTATTTTTTATGGTGTTGTCTCTAAACAGCAAAAATTGGTTTGATGGTTGGTTGCTATCTCTAAATAGCGATGGTAGCCTATGGCCATTCTATAAGGTATTCAGTTGTGCATCCCTATTAACTTAACTATTTTTCATATTTAAGTTAATTCTAAGTATGATTTTTATCTTTTTTAAGCTAATGAAGAGATGTGTTGTTCGGGTTTGGTCTCTTCATTTGGTTTTCTGTTAGCTGGACCATGTTTTCTTCTGCTATCTGTCTGTCTAGTGTTGTGTTGTGTTTGTATAATTCCTGGATCATTATTTATGCTAGTTGGATTATGTGTGTTGTGGAGGTTCCTTTTCATCTTATTTTTTATTTCTGTATGTGCCATTATAATTCTTGTTGGAGGGTTGTTTACCCATTTGCCAGATGTCTTGAAATGCTGGTTTGCTCAACAGAAAAAATAATTGAAACTGCACTGAAATAACAACAGAAACTGGTTTGATACTTTGAGGGTTGGCTGTGTTGTTGGGTTGGTTGTTGTCTTGGTGTTGTTGCTGTCTTTAAACATTTAGGGTGCTGAGTTTGATGTGTTTAGCTGGGTTACATTAGTTGATGGGTTTGGTGTGTTGTTGTTGGGTGCTTCAAGAAGCCCAGGGATGTTGTGCTGAACAGAAAAAAATAGTAGAAACTGCACAAAAATAAACTTATATAATGTATTTTATATGATGGTTTGCTGAACATAAAAAAATAGTAGAAACTGCACAGAAATAACAGAACAGAAATAAATTTAGTGGTTTCTCTGGATGGTTGGCTGGGTAGCTGGGTTTGCTGTGTTGGCAGGGAGATTTGTTGGCTGTGTTGGTAGGGAGATTGGTTTGCTGTTATTTCTGTTTGGCTGTGTTGGCAGGGAGATTCGTTTGATGTTATTTCTGTTTGGCTGTGTTGACGGTTGGCTTACTTTGCTGTGTTGTTGCTGGTTGACTGTGTTGATGGTTGGTTCCGAAAGGATTGAAAGTTGAGTAGCGATGATGAGTACCATTCTGAACTTATTGTGAAGTCAATTGTGGGAAAAAAGTTATTGCAACCAGGTGGCATTTGGAGGGTTAATCAAACAGATACTAAGTATAAAATACAAAATGCCGCCTTGGATGGCAATTTCTCAATTCGCAAGTCCGCAACCGCAAAAAATTATATTGTTGACTCATATTTCATTGAATGATGAATTATTTGGAGGGTTAATCTGAGCTAATAACTTAAGCTTTCAACTAATTCATGGATTTCAAATTATATCTATTTAATTGTTTATATTTTTTGCAGTTAGCTTATATCTCCATGAGGGCAGGCTGTAGGCATAAGAGTTAAGACATCAAGGAGTTGAAAATTCTGTAAATTGTAATTATGGTTTGAAATTTTTATAAATTGTAATTATTTGTGTAATTTATTTGATAGTTTAATATTTTGTATAATTTGTATATTGTAATTAACAAATTGGTTATGATTCCTAAATAAGATTTTTATTTATGCAAATTTATGTTTATAATTTTCTGTGTAGCTGTTTTTAAAATTCTTTTTTTTTTGAAAATAACTCGGGTTAGCGGGTCATTCCGGGTTGTCGGGTTCGGGTCTTGAATATTGACCCGTTTCCATAACCGGGTCGGGTTCCGATCAACTCGTTTAGCTTCGGGTCAGTTCGGGTTCAACACGAACCCGACACGTGACCCAATTTTGACAGCCCTGTCTGAATGCAATAATTACTATTTGTCATAACTAATTTCTTATGAACTTTGTTATTTGAGATGCACTATCAACAAATTTATACATGCAAAAATCTCATCTTCTATACATTAGTTGCAATTATGATAGTATAATATTTATTTTCCACTCTCAGTTTATATTTTATTCAGTGAGATTTCCCAATTGAATTTGTTTCATGAAAACTCACACATTTTACTTCATAATTTCAGATTAACAGTTGTGCAACTTTTAGAGGAGCATTTAGATTCACACTTGAAGTCCATCTTTACTAGATACATAATGTTAAAGTTATATAATCACATCAACTTAAGAGTATATGTTATTTTAATTTATATTTTGATGGATATTGGGTAGGTGTTTTATGCATGCACTGAAAATTTAATTAATGAATATAAATTATTGAAGCCATATATTCATAGTAATTTAAAATTATTTTAAAATTTTTATTAAGTTTGCACGCTTTTCATTAGGTTCTCATGATTTTCTTCTGGGCCTTAAGATCATCTATAACCGAACTGCATACGGTGGTATGCCGTCCTCCATTTGCTCTATTTGAATGCTAAATTATATGTCAAAATTCGGTAAGTGAATATTGCGACTGTTCACCTACGTCAATTTTTGGAACTTTTATTAGGTTTGTTGTAAAGACGTAGAGGAACGTCCGATCGGAGGCAAAATCCCACAAAAAAACTCGGTATTTGCTCGGTATTGCTAGGTATTATTTGATAATAACGAGGAATACTGATCTGTGAAGACCAATATTGAGTTATACCGAGCTATACCGAGCAATACCGAGTTGTACCGAGTTTTTTCTAGGAAAAACTCGGTACAACTTTTGTATAACTCGGTATAGCTCGGTATAGCTCGGTATAACTCGATATTGGGTCTTCACGTGATGGTATTCCTCGTTATTGTTTGATATTGCTCGGTATTTGCTCGGTATTTCTCGTTTTTTGGCGCGATTTGGCCTCCGACCGGACGTTCCTCTACGCCCGGTCGGAGGACGTAATAATTGTTCCAATTTTTGGTGTTCCGGGATTTGCCGAAGAAGCGCACCAAAGAAGAGAAAAATGATTACCTTCGCAGTAAGATGAAGAAGCCTGCGAAATAGGAGAAAGAAATGAAATTCGATTGGAAATAAGTTATTATATTTGGGAGTGTAAAATAGGATTTTCCCTTGGAGATGCTCTAAGGTGGGAGAAATTATTCTGTGCGGACTTCGAACGCCGTCCAGACTAACCAGAATGCACCACATCACCTAATGCTTGATACTCGACTTGTTACTGCTCTATACCGTTGCTCAGCATTGTTTAGTACCCAGCTCAATATTGTTGAGGTGACGTATTCTAATTAATCATCGACGAGAAACTGTGCATTTTACGTCCGCCCCCAATAAATTCTGATTGGGGGTGTGACCCTTAATTGTCTCGACACGAATCATATCCGAACCTATTCATGTTCCACACAAACACGTAAAGGATACCCTCTGCCCAGCGCGAAACTCTGTATTTCCTCGTTTCTCAACTGCCCAACCAAAGATCAAACAATGCCGCCAAGGAAGCAGCAGCAGCGGAAGGGTAGTGAGAAAGCCCGCTCAAAATCCAAGGGCCATGCGTCGGTCTCGAAATCTGCTCCAAAATTGCAGATATCGGCCGAGAATGAGCGCCTCCTTCGTCGCCTCCTTCTCAACACTGAGAAGCCGGAGTCAGACATTGAGCCGACGGCGCTCCCCATCTCTGCCCTCGACACCGTTGGAACCCGGGCTCAAAAGGCGAAAAGGCTCCGCGGCATCTATGACAAGCTATCTCTCGAGGGTTTCACGTCCGATCAAATCGAGCAGGCCCTCTCTGCCCTCAACGTTTGTTATTTGTTTACCAGCTCAGTTGATTTTAAGAATTTTGTTCATCAATTAGGTTTTGTATTTTGTAAGCCCTGATCGCTTGTTTATTTGATGGTAATAAACCTTGGATTTATAGGAGGCAGCCACGTTCGAGATTGCCTTGGACTGGCTGTGTTTGAATATACCTGGAAATGAGCTGCCTCTGAAGTTTTCTAGCGGGACAGCTTCTTCCACAAATGAAGGAGGTAGCTTCATGCTTGCTTGCATTGGTTTTTTGTAATTCCAATTCTGTCCAAATATAACATCATTAGTGTGGTTAGAGTTTCCGGCAAGGGCAAACTTTTTGAAAACCTTATTCTTCATTCATTCATGTCAAATGATACACCAGGTTTTAACTTTATTATGTGCCAGCCTTTTTGTACAACTTGACGTAGGATGCTTAAGAGTCTAAGGTTTACTACTGTAATCAGGATAAAATGTCTATGAAAACATGAAGAAACACAATTCACTAATTATCAATTCTTAACTTCAGCAAGAAATTGTTGTTTTCAATTAAAAAATAACAAACATTCTTCTTTCATTTCAAAGAATAACATATGTATGTATGTATGCATATATCAAGGTTTAAAAAGGTGAAAGCAAGAATTGAGATTTTTTATTCTTATTGAGGTGAGACATAAGCCTCAAGGTGTAACAAAAAATAAAATATTCACAAAATTAGAAATAATTATAAAAATGAAAAAAAAGTAAACCATCAATAGATTTTTTGATTCATCATTAGAAATATATGAAACACAAATCACAACATTAAATATTATTACAACACGAAAGTTTGAAATGAGATTCAAAGTAAGCACTCACTTAGAACTTAAATACACAATGATGATTATGATCCACAATAGCCTCATTATTATTTTCATATTCTTCAAAAGATTTATTGTTTGTAATATTTCTATCATTCTTAGAGTCTTTATTATTGTCATCTTCAAAATTTTCTTCAATTATAATATTTTTTTTGTTACTTCATATATTAGTTAATATTACATTAGACATAATCTTAAGTAACATTGCAAATTAATAACACAATAAAATAATCCATTATACTTAATCACTTTTTATTTTTTTTGAAGCTCCAACACTACTTTGGTTCTTTCTTTATATGTTTATGAAGTAAAAGCTACTTTCAATTCAATAGTCCTTTCAATTTTAGCATGGATATCTTCGTTCTTATTATCATGAAGGCTCATTCGTTCAGCTCCAACTTCAAATCTTTTACTATTTATTGATATTATCTATTTATCATCTGATATGTATCATCAACGACCAAAGAATCCATTTCATAACCACTAGTTCTTTTCCTCAATAATTTGAGATGCATATCTGTAAATTTTTTATTTAATATAATATAAATCAACTTATTCATACGTTGTATCCATTTGATTCCTTCTCTTTTTATGAACTTAGTTAAACGTGTTTGCTCCCATATAGATGCCAAACAAGTAAAGCTAAGAAGTAAGAACTTTCACTAGATGTTTTAGGTTTAGACACATCATCTTCAAATTGTGCTCATAAATGTTTTATAATTGAAGAAAAAGTAAATGATTAACATATATTAATAAAAAAATCTTTAATATAAACTTTTAGATTTAAAATTATAAATGAATGCAAATGTATTAAGAGAGCGTGTCTTGTATCATGCTTGAGCTACTTTAAATCCAAATATTTCATTCTTCAAATGAAAATCCATGACTTGATCATTTATTTTAAGATAGTCAACCTCATGAACAAATCTATTCATGCATGCATATCAACTAATCTTAATCTCTTATCATGAAAGCCTTTATTATAATAAAATTGAGGGTTCAACCAATATGCATCAGTATGTAAGTGTTGGTGTAGTTGATGATTCCACTTTTCATTTATTATTTCTCAAATTTCTTTATAAACAGTTTTTTATTATCCTAAATCTCGTACTATTTCTTCCTTTGTCTTATTCATTGCTACATAGATAAATCTCATTACTATGGATTTTCACTATCAACTATTCTTAATAACTTCACTAATTGTCCAGTTGTATTCAACACATAATTAAAACTTTGCCAAAAAAAGTTGTTTTCCATAATAATCTTCCTCACTTTCTTTCCTTCTATTTTTTTTTGCCCAATAACTTTTATCCCATTCTTCAGAAGTAAGCATGGACTCAAAAAGCTACCATTACTCTTTATATCTCTACAAAATCAATTTTTCTATGACAAATCTAGTAACTGTAGGTAGGATTAATTTTTTTATTAGTGAACTTTCTCATCAAAATCAATATCCGAGAGTGGTTGTAAATAAATTTGCTTATTATTTTTGCATTCAACAAAACAAATTTATGTTGTGATAACTGTTTTAATCTCTCAAGCGTCAAATCAAGGCAATAACTGCACGTAGGTCTAGTAAAGATATTTCCTTTTCTTCATTGATAGTATCCCTACAACCTTATAGTCATTTGTATTATCTGTAACAACTTGAACAACTAAACTTTATGTTACTTCTTCAACAACTCTCTTTAAGCATTTGCAATAGCAGTTGTTCATCATCTACAAAGGTTGTTGCATCAACAAATTTTAAAAATATAGGCCAATAGGGATTGTTAACAATGAAGTTTATGATGCTCCTTTGTCGAATATTTAATCGACCATATGACATTACCAACCCATATATTCTTCACTTCATCGGCCATCATTGTCATTATTCGAACCCTCTCATCTAACATCCAAGTCCACAACTTATATATGCTAGGAAGTTCTAGACCTTGACCATACTTCCAAAGAGATCGAAACATGTTGATCTATGAAGGACTCCTAGCCACGTTGAATGAAATACCATTTTCATAAAAATACATTGCAATATCTAAACATACTCTATTTCTATGTTTCCTTATATGGAAGTTAGAGAAGGAATTGCTTAAGAGTTAATATTTCTTATTTTCATCAATATTCACAACAAATCTATCAATTGGCCCTGAGTTCCTCTATTAGAAGAAATAAAATGACTTGCATTACTTTAACCATCATGTTGAAAATCAAAATAAAAGCTATTCCCTATCATCTCCTCCATATTTTTTGAGCCATTTCTTTGGCGATGACATATTTCTTTGAATATTCAACACATTCATTTTTTACTTCATCTAGTACTTTTACATCCTCCAAAATTTACTTTTGTGCAAGCCAAGTGATCTTTAAGTATTTTAGTATAATTTGTTTCTCATAAAAAAATTATATTTCAAGCAAAAATACTCCTTTGCATCCACACCTATCACTTCAACTTCAGTGCCATATTTTAAAGCTGGACCTTTTATTCTTACACCACCACCCATTCTAATAAACTAAAGAAATTGATAATTACACTATTCAATAAAAAATAGTGAACATATCAATAAATTACTTGAATAATTATCCTATCGAATAAAACTTTAAATATTCTTAAAAATAAATTAGACTTGACTATCAGCTTTAAAAAGCTAAAATCTAAGATTTAATGGACAAAATCAAGGAAAGACCTCTACGAAATTTTTTTATAACAAATTAACTATATAATTAGTAGCTTCATTACAAGTTGAAATCTAACTTGATAGCATGTTATTTCCTAGTAACAAATTAACTACACAATCAATAGCTTCATTATAAGTGAAAGACCTCTAAGAGAAAAAAAAAAAAACTAATATATAAATTTCATCAATAAACTCGTTATTTATTGAAGCTCAAACAATCATATCCTTTGCTACAAAAGATAATGATCATAAAACATTTGAGTAAAATAAACTTGATTATTCATTGGAAATCAATCTATTAGGCAATATCAAATTCATTAAAGCAAAAGTAGCTGATTGATCTAAGTTGGAAATGAGCGAAGTAGCCTAATTAGTTGAAAATAATTAGTTGAAAAAAAATGTTCAGTTGTTCACTAACCTAGGCTGCAAAGAAGATGCACAAGCCTGGCCTTCTCGATCCCGATTATGAACCCCTCTTGAATCTTGTGCACTATGATGGCTAGCATATAGACGATGATGAAGAAAATGATGGAGGGAAAAGATGAAGCTAGCTCTCGACCTCCCTATTCCAACCCGCTTGAGCCTGGTACAGTCGTTGGTCACTGGAATGAATAAATGGGTGAGGTGTTAATATAATAGGTTATATTTATTAATAATAATATAATACACATAAATTTAATAAAACTCTATTTTGAATGTGGCACCGATTCAAAATGCTTCAAGGCGTATGCCTCATTTTAATAAATTTAATATATTTCTCATTTACTGAACTTACATATTGTCATCAAATTTCATTACATAGTGTTGTGCTAGTTCTCTTCTAAAAATTTCTTCCATTGTCAAAATTTATATTAATCATTAATGCATTGTCATTATGATTGTAAACTCTCTGGCCACTCCGAAACTACTTTTAATGTTAGGAACTTCCTGAATATACATATTTTAATAATTTAAAATTATATTTGATGCACATTTTTTCAACGTAATGCCTATTAAATCATTTTTTTAGTACTAGAGCACAAACTTTTTCAAGATTGATGTGCTTTGAAGAGCTTTTTATTACTCTCTATGCTTTTGCATTAATTATTCTCTAAATGAATCACCCCCAAAGTAGATCTCTTTAGCATGAAACCAACTTGATTCTTTAACGCTAATGTGTCTTTTAGCTTACATTCCTTTGCTTCTTACCATACCTTCATTATTTCGTGACAAAAAAATGATCCACCTAAAATCACCACAACTTAACACCTTATTTTTAGGGGTGTAAATGAGCTGAGATGAGCTGAGCAGGTGCTTGTTTGTTTAAAATGATAGATGCTCATGTTTGGTTTGTATTCGATTCAAGTTCAATTCATTTCATGCTTATTGAGTTTTAAACAAACAAGTCTTATCAAGCTATTAACGAGTTTTACTTTCTAGATAGCTTAACAAATTAGCTTATTGAGCTTGCTAAAAACATAATTACATTAGAGATTGATCGCGAACATATTTGTCGAGTATTTTTGAACTACCAAATGAGCTTATTCACAAATATATTTAGTTGAGTTACCAAATGAGCCCGCTCAGGACAAAAAATGATTCTTCTTACAAAGAATCTCGTTCATGAACACTTTAAACAAATAATCTAACAAATGTGAACAAATATCTCTTTTTCATGAACATATTTATTCTAATGAAAAGGAATAACATAAAAAATAATTTTTTTAATAAAATAAGATTCATTTATTATAATAAAATTAGAAATTATGTGAAAATATATCAAATAAAGATTTAAATCAATCTTAAGAATAGTATTTAGTTTCAAACATTACTTATAAACAACTTTTATTCTCGATCTCTGTATCGAACATAAACCAAGCTTTTTAACGAGCTTGTTCACTAGCTTTAAATAATATTATTCATTAACATAAATTAGTTGAACATATTGTTGTTCAAGTTTATTTATTGAACCATCAACAACAACAATAAAAATAACATCAAGCCTTTATCCTAGTACGTGGGGTCAGCTACATGAATCCTTTTTTTCCATTGTCTTGTTAAGAGTCAAATTCTCATTTAAATCTAATAAAAATAAGAATTATTTCTAATATTTTCTAACCAAGTCTTTTTAGGTCTACCTCCACCTTTCTTAATATAGGCCAAATCTAATACATCTACTCTCTTAGCTGAGTCATCAGAAGGTCGACGTTTTATGTGACCAAACCATTCAAGGAGACTCTCTCTAATCTTCTTTCATTGGAGTTACTCCAACCCTTTCATGGATATGCTTGTTTTGCATTCTGTCTCTAAGAGTAAAGCCACTCATCCACCTTAGCATCCTCATCTTTGTAACACTTAATTTTATGCTACTCTTTTAATGGCCAACATTCTACGCCATAAAGCATTGCAGGTTTTACCACCATCTTATAGAATTTTCCCTTAAGTTTGAGGGTTACTTTTCTATCTCACAATAGGCCCAATGCAATCCTCCACTTTAACCATCCAACTTGAATTATACTATTAATATCCCCATCTATTTCACCATCACTCTGGACAATATACTCTAGATATCTAAAATGTGTGCTATTATTAATGTCTTGATTCTCGAAAGTCGCAATCCCCCCACTAGATCTATTACTACTAAAATTACACTCTATGTATTCGGTTTTAGATATATTCAAATGAAAATATTTAGATTTTAAGGTTAATATCCATAATTCAAGTTTAGCTCTCTAGTCTTATCAACAAGAAGAATATATCATAAGCAAAAAGCATACAGCAGGGTACATCATCGTGCAAATGTCTAGTAAGAACATCCATGACTAAAGCAAAATGATATGGGCTTAAAGCTGATTCTTGATGTAATCCAATTGAAATAGGAAATACTTGGTCTAATCTTCTTGTGTTTGAACATAATTAACAATTCATGCATACATATCCTTAATGATTTGAGTATAAGTATTATTAATCCCTTTCTTTTCTTAAACTCTCCATAGCACTTCTCTTAAAACTTTATCATAACCTTTCTCTAAATCAATAAATATCATATGTAGATCCTCCTTATTCTCTTTATGCCTCTCCATGAAACCTCTTCCATAGTTTTAATATATGCACATTAACTTAATTCCTCTATAATTCGCATATTTTTTGTGCATCACATTTATTCTTAAAAATAGGAATCAACAAACTCCGCTACTCATTTGACATTTTTTTTGTCTTCAAAATAATTTTGAAAAGTTTCATAAACCAAAAAATTCCTTCAATCTCCTAAGCATTTACCACTCTATTAGAATATCATTAGGTCTAATAGCTTTTTTATATTTTATTTTTTTCTTTAAAGCCTCTCTGACTTCAATTTTACTAATATGCTGATAAAAACAAAAAAAATCTGATTTTCTATTCAGGCTATAAGGTCACTAAAGTTAATGTTTGTCTTACAATCTTCATTGAAAAACTTATCAAAATATCTTTTCCACCTTTGTTACATATCCTCTTCTAGGAAAAGCACTTTTTAATCTTCATCTTTAATGCATTTATCTTGAACTAAATTTGTACTTCTCCTATCTCTTTGTTTAGCTAACTTATACATCTTTTGCCCTCTGTAGTATCTAATCTATTATATAAATCATTAAAAGCTAAATTCTTTGCGTCGCATATTATTTTCTTAGACTATTTACAAGCTTTTTTATATCTTTTCCAATTTTTTAAGTTTTACATATAAACCAATTTTTATAATAATTATTTTTATTTTTGATATTTTCTTGCACATTTTGATTCCACCATAAAATATTTTTTCTATTAAGAGCTTTTCCTTTTGATACTCCAAGCACATCCTTTGTAACAATTTTAATATCATTAGTTACTTTGTCTCACATAACATTAACTTTCTCATTTACTATCAAAATTTTGAATCTTATTCTCAAAAATTTTTTTATTAGTTTTTTAAAATGCTCTAATCTAATCCTAGAACAACAATTTGCTTTATTTTTTCTTATTCCACCCTTCATTTTAAAGTCCAAAACTAATAAGCGATGCTGATTACTTAACTTTTCACTCGGAATAACTTTACAATCTTTCTAATGTAAACGATCTTTTTTTTGTAAGAAAGTAATCAATTTTGGTTTTAATATATTTATTTTTATAAGTGAAGGGATGCTTATCTTTTTCTTAAATAAAGTGTTAGCAATTATAAATCATAAGCTAGAGAAAAATTTAATATGATCCTATTATGTTCATTAGTTACTTCAAATCCATAGCCACCATGAATGTTGTTAAAATCTTTTATCTCTCTACCAACATGTCCATTTAAATCTCCTTAAAAAAATTATTGTTCAAGAGGTATATTTGTATTAATTCTTCTAAGTTATTATAAAATTTTAATTATGAAATATGAATACATATCCAAATCTATTTGTGGAGTATAAACACTTATAATCTTAATAATCTTAGCATTAATAAAAATTTTTAAAGTTATAATTCTTTCTCTAATTCTATTAATTTCTACAACATTATCCTTCACACTTTTATCTATAATCAAATTTATACCATTTCTAATACGACTCATATCTGAATTCTATATTTTAAATCCTAAACTATTAATCTTATTAGCCTTCTCTCTAACCCTTCTAGTTTCCTAAATGCGTATAATATTTATCTTCTTATGAATCATAATATCTATTAATTTATATCTAAAAACTATATATTCTAAGTTCCTATCCTAATTCTATTTTGATGGACTAGCTTCTTTGCCTACATCCGTCTATGATGTGGGAATTCTTGCTTATTTAACACTATACCTGGGCGCTGGGGCAGCGACCCTTGCACACCTATCTCTGTATTCAAGTCATTCAATACGTCATTTCGAGGGAACACCCTAACATTAACACAATGTATTATATGATTCATGCCTTGATTATTTGATAAGTTTTATGTTTGATGTCGACTACCTGATGCAACCCTCCATTTTTCTCATCAAGGGCTTGGGAGTTACAATGATATTATTCGTTTATTAAACCATCGAGTATTTAAAAAATGTTCAATTGATTACTTAATCAAACGATCATGAACGTGATATAATCGAGCCGAGCTACATGTAGTTTGTCGAATGTCTAGTTCATTTGCAACCCTACTTATTTTTTCTTGAGTGCTTGATCTTCCAGTATTGACATCATGTTAATGTATATGATTTCATTTAAAAAATTGTGTCCAAGCTTCTCTTATAGCTCCCCTGATTCTTCCAATCTTAATTGGTATCTTAGCTGAATGTAAAGCTTTAGCTTTTATTTATCTTGTTTAAAGTTAACTCAATTTCAAATTTCGGGTTCAATCTTAATTTTTTTTTTCAACTTTTCTTAAATAATTGTTCTATTAAAATGTTCATTCAATAATTTCCTAAAATATTATTCTCATTTTTTTTGGGTGCGTTTAACTTTAATTAATGTATTGTTTTTTTCATTCTTAATGCAATTAACTTGATCAAATCCTTTTCATATTTTTTCTCTTGGCTCAGTTATGTTATATTTTGTTAATGTTATATTTCTTTGCTAAGGACTTGAATATCAATGATAAAGAAAGCGGAAATTATTTATTATTCTTCATAGCCTCATTCCTCTCTCCAAATGGGGTATTTATAGAGTCTAGATCTAACTAAATAACTGAATATTCTTATTAATACTAATTACAATATTCATATAGATGCTAATTATAGACTTAAAATATCACTAAATAATTAGAGCTTTAAGTTGTGGGTTCACAACAATTTTTCTTGACAGATAGGTCGGTTAGAATCATCTCCACTGCACGAACAAATCTGGTTCCTACTAAGCGTGTTATAGAGGAAATGAAAGAGGGCTCTTCTGGAATTTCTGTTCGGTTAAAAGGACAACCTGATGAGGTATCTTTGGATTTCGGAAAGTCATCACAAGCTGAATGGATTCGACAATATTTGGAGCAACAGGAAGAGGAAGAAGAAGATGAATTTAATGAAAAAGAAAAGGTATGCAGAGATAGGATTACTGTTTTGCGCAATGACTCTAAAAATCCATTTATTTCATCATTAATAAAATATTTGTCCACTTTATCTTTTGGATCTCTTTCTATGGGGTCATTGGTTCTGAATTCTGATGCAATAATTAATTTGAATCGGTGCCATTAGATGTCATACAAAATAAAGCCCCATTCTTAATTTTAGCCTTCCAGAGACTTGGTAAGTGCACTCTCCCGACATAAATTTTTGCGCATTGCAAAGATATTTGGACTTTGGCGCTTGACTGACTGCCTTAATGTGGTAGATTGCAATTGAGTTTGAATAGTCTTTTTGAAGGCTGTTATAATTTGGAATTTTGTTACACTACTATTTGTGGTTTTAATGGTCGATTGAAGTTCTATATATTGTTAATATGTACAATGCTATTACGTTTTTGTTAATGATTTCAATTTCAGGACGTTGATCCAAGTTCTTATGCTGTTTCCGTTACGAAAGAGTACCGTCTGGCAAGGCTGGGAGCCTTAGAAGCAAAGCAAAAGGGAGACAGGGCTAGTCAGAAACACTATAGTGAAGTCATCAACAAACTTAAGCAAGAATTCACTTCCCTAGGTTTTACATTTGCATGCTTAGCGCTTTACCTTCCTTTTTACAAGTGTCAAGTTCGCATCACTAAATGATATCGGATCTACCTTGGTTGTAGGACTATCAGAAAATGATGTAGAATCTGATTTGAAAAGTGAAATTAATAATTTAAAGGTGCCGTGTGATCCCCCACAAGGTCAAGTGCTTGAGTCAAAGCTGCCAGATGTTGTCAAGTTTGACAGCAAAGATGCAGTGAGTGCATTTATAGTTGATTCCTGCACTTTGGAAGAACCTAGTCATGCTACTGGTAGTTCAGTCCTTACTATTACAGAGGAATGTGAACAGAAAGAGGAGCCTGAAGAGTTGGAACTTGATAATCTATTTTCTGAAGATTCAACTTCCAGTGGAACTGTCCCTTCTGAAGCCCTGAAACAACAAAAAAAAGATAATTTGTTACACTCTGCATATGTCCATATGTTAGGGAACTTAGATGAAATATGGAAAAAGGTAATATTTTGTAGTAGCATTCTCTTTTACTATTTTTTATCTTCAAAATGTTGCATGGGCGTGTAAATATGATTATGCTTGTGAAGGTATCCATACATCAGATGCAAACATATTTTTGTATCTAGAGACACCTAAATGCAAGCATGTCTGTGTGAAAGGACACATGAACATGCATCCATATCTTTTTATATACTGTTATATGCATGCATCTTTTTGCCTATGTTATTTGTTTATTTGTGGTTCTGTAGCTTTGTTTGTGCCCATTTACATCTCTATCATGCTATTCTTACTTGTTTATTCTCTCTACTATGGGCTCTAAACTTTGTCTATGACTATCACGAAAGTTTTTGTGATGCACTTATATTGAGAATTTTTGTGATTATATTAAAATTGTCTTTAAAATTGGTGTCAGTTTCATTAGATGCAGTTTGAATTTGTTAATTTCTTGTATATTTACTCATGCATTTTACATAATTTAATAATCTATCTGTATGGTTTAATATTCTAATTACAGGGTGATTCGGGACGCATTCCCAAGGCCGTTCTTCAGAAGTTTTGTCAGAGGCTACATTGGGAAGCACCCAAGTACAACAAGGTATCAACAAAAGAAGATAAATTTCTTTATTCTGTTAGTGTGTTGCGGACAGCTAGCGGGCGTGGAAAGAGCCGGACAGTTGGAGGTTTGATAACCTTTCATCTTCCTAACCAAGATGAAGGCTTTGAATCAACTGAGGTGTCCATTTTCTCTCTCTTGAGTGTTACTTTTATTGAGCGCTTGTTGATATGCTGAACTAAATTTTGAACTTTTTTGCCGGTTAGTTATTTCTTTTGTCTGATCTGCCTCTATTTTCTTTAGTTCTTTCATGGTGGGGCTCTGTTTAAATCATTCTATTATTTCTAATTTCTTACTTAATCACTGACATTACAATATTTGTTCCAGGAGGCACAAAATAAAGTAGCAGCCTTTGCTCTTTATCAATTGTTTCCCGATCTTCCATTTAACCAGCTTCTTATAGAGCCATATGCTTCGTTTATGACAAAACGGCTGGAAGGTAATAGTTTCAATTAGGCAATTATTATCTACATGATGCATTTTTCTGAGATGTATTTTGGTAACTTTGCATCTTTTCTTTTAATCATGATTGTGCAGAAGATGAATTTTCAGCGAAAGTACAAGACAATGAGGATTACCGTAGAACAGGATTTGTGGATTCTCTATTGGCTGCTGGGGTTTCTCGAGCACCAGTTTTCAAAGATGCTAAAGATGAATATGTCTGTAGTGAGATGCTTGTTGATCCTCTAAGAAGAGATGATGAACAAAATTTGTTAATTAACGGAGCAGCAAAATTGCCATATTTGAATGGTAAGCTATTCTTTCTCTCTAACTCTTTTCTATTTCAAGTATCGCAGAAAGAGTGGTAATAAAAGATGTAGGGAGATTTCAGCTTTTTTATGGCTTCTAGGATTTTCAAGCATAATGTATGCTAACAAGCATTTAAATGTCTGCTATGGGCAAATCGGGGGTAGACAATATGAATGTTAGTTTCTTTCATATGCCTTGCTGTTCTATCACGGGAAAGTTTGGACTCTAGAAATTAAGTCCGCAAGCCTGATACATGAACCACATAGCATACACACACACACACACCCCCACACAACCTAGTTTTGTGTCAAGGCTTCTTTAGAAATTTTATTATTTGGTGTTATGCCAAAACTATGTCCGTGTGAATTTCCCAAGTCACTAGGAAATCTATTGTTCATTATTCATTTTGTGACGGTTTATCTGTCTTGGTAGATATTGACACACTGTTGCTCACAGCTTAATCAAACTTGACCTTATGGGCCTAACCCACAGCAATGCATCATAAGGAAATTAATATTTAATTATTTTGGAAGGTTGATTAATCTTTTCGTACCCATGAAATGCTATTCCAAAAACTAAAGCATCATGGTGTCACGACCCGGCCCGGAGGCTCACATTAACAAGACGCGAATAGACGGTTAGTTTAAAATTTTATTTGCTAAAACTATCACCAACAAAGTAAAAGAGTCACTAAAAATTTTGAAACATTTAAAATAAAATGATATAAATAACTTTCTCTCAGAGTATCGGCCTACGATATACATTATCTTCTCTTTAGTCATTTTATGTTATTCAAATAATAGCTGTGAATGTTATTGGAAAACAAAAAGGAGTTATAAAAGCAATATTTAAAATTGCGTAATTAGGTATTGAAGCGTTTTTTGTTTGTAAGGCGAGGCGTAACCCTCAAGGCGTTTTGAGGCGTGAGCCTAAAAAAAAAAATTGCGTTAAGTGCAAATAATTGTTAAAAATAAATTTTTATATAATACTCAAATAATATGTTAAAAATGACATTATCTTTCTATTGAACTATGAAATAACACAATGACATACATATGAAACAAAAAATTGCACAAGACGTAAAGTGGCTAGTAATAAATTGCATGAAATACAAATATTACATTACAAAAAAAATATTAAATATAGAAATTGCATAAAAGTATCATATGATATTAAGTTTAACTTCAAATTCTTTTTTTTTTTCAGTTCTCTACTCATCTACATTTAATTTCTAAAATAGACTGAAAAGTTAGCAACAACTAGAAAATCATCTGTTTTGTCACTGAGGGGATCTTTGTTTGAGTCGTTATTATAATAAATTGATCTCTCCCGTCTCATCTATGGAGTCTAATGCCTCCCAATATGCTTCTTCTTCCTTTATTTCAGGCATCTTCCTCTTTCAAAAATATTTTTCATCAACATAAAGATGAGATTAATACTCCAAAATTTTTAGAGGTGGTGGTGGTGTGCGGCTTTCAAGTAATCCTTGACGGAGGTTAAGGCGAAGGCGACGGGCTGGAGGTTAAGGCTGTTGAAAGAAAGTTGCTGCGACTTGGTGGTACACGAAGTGTGATCTGTTTGGGGCTTTACTTCAGGATTTATGTAAGTTTTAATATATATAGGGTTAGGAGTAAGCCTCACGCTAGTGAGGCAAGGCGTGCCTTAAGGCGGACCTCAACCAAGTTGAGGCGCAAGCCTCATATAAAAAACTTGAGGTGTAAGCCTCAAGTCTCTTTTCACTGGAATTGCTCAAAGGCGGGCTCAAGGCAAGCCTCATATTGCGCAATTTTAAACCATGTATAAAAGAACTCAGTGTGTAAATCATGCTTCTAAATTACAGTAATACAAGACCTTTAAAATAATATGCTTGCTCATTTCTAAATATAAATTAATTCCATTTAAATTCATCATGACCATCAATATTATGCATATGTCATATTTTTATCCACATCTTTATCATTTCTCGTAAATAATACAGCAGTTACAAGAGCCATCATCTAAAATAGTACCAATGAAGGTACTCTTTGTTCATTTCCTTTTTCTTTTATCATAACCTTTTTCATTTACATGCAAGGTACATTACGTCCTCAGACAATATTATAAAAGGGTGTGCTCCATTAATTCAACATGCACATACAAACATATCTATCCAGCCATTTCATTCATAATCATTTATTAACCTTATGTAAAACATAACATCCTAATTTAATTTGAAATGATCAATCATTTGATAAGTGAAAAAATAAATAATTTGCAATGAAATTAGAAACAATAATAAAATAAATCATTTGCAATAACAATTAAATACAATTGGAAGAATCAACACAATTATCGTAATATAGAAACATTAATACTCTCCTTGAATTTAGGTATTGCGCAGCTTTACTTTTATTCCTTACTTCTAGGTCTATAGACTTAACACTTATAAAAATATCCCGTCATAAAAATTTAATTTATAATTTGCTCTTATCTCTCTAATTAATTAGTTAATTCATTAATTAAAATTTGATTTTAAAACTACTTGTTCTCTCGCTCACTTTTTATATAAACAATATTTTCCTTATTATCATATTTGAGATTTACTTTTACTTTAAAGTTTATCATTCAATTTATTATGCATACAATTAATTTTTTAATTATCATTTTCAATTAAAGTATATATCTTATTTAACTCTCATAATCTTTATTAACACTAATCATTTGGCAATTTAAGTTTTATTTTAAGTATTAAACATAGTTACTATATATATTTTTAATTAAAACTTTAATGAATAAATAACAAAACTTACCTTCCTTCCTCTTCTCCAAACCCTACCCGCACGCCCAGGACTCTCCCTCGGCTGGCTTGGTCCCAAGTATTTCTTATGCTCCCACTCCCTTCCTTTATCTTCCTTCTGATCTCCCCCATCGTCAGTAATGAAACCCAAAAACTCTTTTGGACCCTAAAGGACATTGAGATCAAATTTTCCTTTCAGGATGGAAGAAAACAAGAAGATGTTTTTGGGGTTAAAAGAAGAGTAATTGAGAGGTTGTCTTTGAATAAATTGGTGGAAGGAGATGCTAGCTAAGAGGTGGTACTGTTCTTGTTATTGTTTGTTGCATCTGCCTATTTACATTTTTAGTGAAAATCACAACTACAATCAATGAAAAATTTTTATATGAAGCCAATGTGTGCCATTTGTCATATAAAATATGTAGGGTGTTTGCTATTCCACGCATAACTGATTAGAAGTTGCATTTGTGTGCATAATGTTTTGGCTTATTTCTCGGGTTTTCTCTCATTTTTACAGCATATGTTATCTTATATCTATTCTCAATTTATTCCTTAATTTAGAGCTATGTTGCACCGATACGGATACGGCGACATAGATACGACACGGTACGAATATGAGACACGTCAATTCTTAAAAATACATGATACAGGTACAACGTGGACATGTCATTATAATTTATAAACCATACATAAAAATTAAGAAAGCAATCAAATCATAATTTTTGAAATTTTAAAAAAAATGACAACTATTCAATAAAAGGAATGATATGATTAGCTTCTTCAGTGGTTTGTCTTTGAACTTCTATATAATCTTCAATAAATATCATAACTTCTAATTCAGGCTCATCAAGTAAAAGATTAGTAATTTCTAATATTCCCATATCATCAAGAGACTCAAATCCATCTAGGAAATGAGAGAACCTTTCTCGCAGCCGCGGAAGTAAATACGACGCGTCTTTTTTTTTGGATTTCTTTTTGTTTTTCAACTGACATGCGTGTCTTTTTGAAATTAAATAGTATTTTAATTGGATACGGCTTTGGCGTATCCGACATGTATTGGTGGCGTATCGGAGGCATATCCGTGTATTGGTGTATCGGATATAACATGCCTTCATAAATAGGTGTATCAGTGCAACATTGATTCAGAGGTGATTATCACTATTTCCTTTTTTATGGTCCCCATGAATCAATGTTTTGATTCTCTCCCTATGTGTTAAGCGCATAATTTTAGTGATTGGCACCCCCACCCCCCACCCCCCACCCCAACTTGCATGCACATGCATTACCACATACTTCTTGCACTCGCACAAGACCACATACAAATGCAAAAGCTTCTAGTCCTACCCTTCCCTTAAATTTTAGTACTCCTGAATTTTGAAACCTAAGATTTTACTGTTGACATCTTCAGGATGTCCTTTTGCTATTTTATCTATTTCTAATTGCCTGTTGTGATCTGTAGGTTTAACATATCATGAACAGCTGGAGAGCAACCTTTTGAAAGAGGAGCTGCAGAATAAAATGAAGAATCCTAAATACATGGTATTTTCTTGATCTTGCATTTGGTCGTTCAAGAAAATGAACAATAACCAAAGGGCTCTTTAACTTGAAGAAAATTCTTGTTTTGTTTATGTTTTGGTTTGATTAACATAAAATTTTTGTGGTAGAGAGCATAAAATTTAGAAATTCACTGCGAACCTCATTTAGCTTTTCTTTGGGATGTTTCACTACTTAATAAACTACTTATTTTATCTTTAATGTTTTATTATCCATGAGACTTCTAATTTTGTCTATTACTACAGACAATGCTGGAGAGTAGAGCAGCTCTTCCTATAGCTAAGCTAAAGGATACTATTTTACAACAGCTCCATGACAATGATGTGATCGTTGTTTCTGGGGAAACAGGTTCTGGTAAAACAACTCAGGTGCGCTTTGTGTCGCTTGATTTGCAGTGATATAATTAAGGAATCAAACAAAGGTTTCCTCATCCATCTTTAAGCACATACTTGACCTTGTGAAGTACAATGAAAAGTTGCGAATTAGAAATTGATCAACGAGTAGACTTAGTCCTCTCAACATTATTATGCCAATTAGAGCTTGAACAACTAAATTGGTTGGATGCCATTAACAGTTCTAGTTTTTAACATCAAGGACCTTGTCTCGCCAACTGATCTTTAAGTTTGAATCACAGTAATGAATGTAAATCTTGCTTCTTTTGGCAGATGGATCCCATTTAAAAAAGAATAAAGAACACACTGAGTTATTCCTTGTTCTAGAATCATGCAAGCATAGAGAAGCGCCCCATATACTTTGTGGAAAACTTACTTTTCTATTATGCAATGCATCTACTCAATATTTGATTGGCATGATCAACAATTAGTTATCTTAAAGCATTTTATGGTTTCTGAATATGATCAAGATGTTTCCCTAACTATAAGTTCATATCTTGTAATACTTAATTTAAGGGTTACTATAGTCACTCTTTTGCAAAACCTAGGGGAGATTACCCTGAACAGTAATATTCTCCATGGTTTTTGGCATGAAGTGTTAAATCACTCAAGTCACTGATAATTATTTTTTTTGTGATAATTAACAATCTTCTTTCTCCTATGTAAATATTGCAGGTTCCTCAGTTTATTTTGGATGACATGATCAAATCAGGATTGGGTGGTTCTTGTAATATCATATGCACACAACCTAGGAGAATTGCGGTATGGATTCTCTTTAAGTCAGTAGAGTTTAATATAGTCATTTGAAATGTTGACAAAATTTTGGACTATTCACAACATGTGCAGTTATTTTCTCTTTTGTCTTTGTATTTTAAATGCTTTATATATATATATAGCATCTTAGGGAGTGTTCAACACAACATTAATAATATCAAACCTTTATCCCATTATGTGAGGTCGGCTACACAATTCTTCATTTTGTCATGTTAAAAAGCATTCTCATTTAGATCTAATAAAAAAAAGGTAATTTCTAATATTTTCTAACAAATCTTTTTAGTTCTACCTCTACCTCTCTTAACATTGGCCAAATCTAATGCACCTACTCTCCTAACCGGATTATCAGAAGGAGATGTTTTATGTGACCAAAACATTTAAGGAGACTCACTAATTTTATATGCCATTCATGCTACTCCAACCTTTTCACATATGTGCTCGTTCCACATTCTATCTCTTAGAGTAAAGCCACTCATCCACCTTAGCATCCTCATCTCTGCAACACTTAAATTTAATTGTATGCTTCTCTTCTAATGGCCAACATTCTGTGCTATAAAACATTGCAGGTCTTATCACCATCTTAGAGAATTTTCTCTTAAGTTTGAGGGATACTTTTCCTTCACACAACAAGCTTGGTGCATTCCTCCACTTCAACCATTCAACTTGAATTCTACTAATAATATCCTCATCTATTTCACCATCACTCTAGACAATACGCCCGAGATATCTAAAACTATGTATTCTTATTAATGAATTAATCGTCCAAAGTTACAATCATCCCATTAGATCTATTTCTACAAAAATTACACTATATGTATTCAGTTTTTGATATAGTTAGACAAAAATCTTTAGACTCTAAAGTTGACCTTCATAATTCAAGTTTACCTTCAACTCCCTCTCTAGTCTTATCGACAAGAAGAATATCATCAACAAAAAGCATACACTAGGGTACATCCTCCTACAAATGTCTAGTAAGAACATCTATGACCAAAGCAAAAAGATATGGGCTTAAAATTGATTCTTGATGTAATCCAACTGAAATTGGAAAATACATGGTACAATCTCCTAGTGTTTGAACATAAGTAATAGCTCCTGCAATACATATCCTTAATGAATTGAGAATTAAGCATTATTAACTCCTTTCTTTTCTAAAACTCTCAATAATACTTCTCTTGGAACTTTATCATAAGCTTTTTCTAAATTAATAAATATCATATGTAGATCCTCCTTATTCTTTCAATACTTCTCCATGAAACCTCTCAATAAATGTATAGCTTTCATAGGAGACTTACCTGCCATGAATCCAAATTTATTTTGAGAAACATTAATATCACATCCAATGTTTGAAATTGCGTAATTGGGTATTGAGGCGTTTTTCGTTCGTGAGGCAAGGCGTAAGCCTCAAGGCATTTTGAGGCGTAAGCCTCAAAATCACAAAATTGTGTAAACATAAAATGATAAATTTTGTATATACTAATGAGTAAAAAATATATAAAACATAAAATGCACAAGATATGAAGTGAAATCAAAATATCCCTGTTAATAAGACAATATGAAATATAGTTCAACTCAAACTCCATCTTTCCCAAATCATAATATTTTTTTCATTAACATATAATTCCAAAAATAAATAGCAATGACATATCACATAAGAACTCATAAGTTATCAGCATTGTCATCACTAAGGGGGTGTTCATTTGAATCATCAGTATGATGAACTACTCTATCCACTTCCTCCTCTCCTATAGAGTCCAATGTCTCCCAATAAGGTCCTTCCTCAATATCAGTTATCTTCCTCTTCCCTAAATATTTTTGAACAATTTCAAAATAAATAATAGTGTAATATATTAGTAAAAGTTTAATAAAACTTTATTATTTATATACCTTTTTTGATTTGTTCTTGAGTTGTGATGGATATAGATGCTTTAAGACCATCAAAGAAATCAGCATTTAAATCTTCATCTTATAATTCAGACGGCATCACTTCAACTTCATCATCTATAAACCACTCATCATCAGATGCCACATCCTCGCAAAGCAAAGGATCTTCATCATCCATAAATTTTTTTTTTCAAATTTCTATCTCTGAGTCACCTATTATACATAATGTACACCAGTGAATTCATCCTCAATGTGGACAAGCGATTTCAACTTTTTGTATGTACTTGGTTGTAGGTACTCAATTTCTTTCACAGCCATATGAAAAACATGTCAAGCCCAAAACTTTCACAGCAAAACGCTGCAATTATGGAGTCAGATTGCCAAATTGAATCCATCACTCAACTAATATTTATATAAGAGAGTTTAATTAGTGCGAAAAAATAAATTTTAAATAAATGTTTAAAACATTAAATAAAATTACCTGGAGATCGTTTGTTAATTGTATCCTTTGCTTGTTGTAATCCCAAAAAGCCTTCTTTGTTCTTAAAAGGTACCAATTGCATGTCAGCATTTGATCTTTCACTTGCATCACTTATTAGCCGATCCATGCAATAATACAATCCCAACTTTATTTCAGGGTTTGTAGACTTATTTTCTGTATATTGATACTGAGGGTTTAGGTAATAACCAGCTGCATGCAAGTGCCGGTGAAGTTGTAGCTCCCATCTATCATTAATAATTTTTCAAATTTTCCTAAAGCTACACTCTTCGCCTCCTAAGTTGGAGGCAATTATTTCTTTGGCTTCATCCATGGCGTTGTAGATAAAACCCATTGCAGGCTTCTTCTCAGCATCCACCATCCTTAAAACTTGAACCAAAGGTCTAGTTGTTGTAATATCATATAAAATAATTTACCAAAATCTATTATTTAAAATAATCTTTCTAATCTCTTTTCCTTCAGCTTTCTTTGCCCAAGCACAACTCAACCACTGTATAGATGTGAACATAGCATCTAAAGATTATCTAGCATCCATCATGCTCTCTAAGGTCAAGTAAGTGGTAGCAAATCTTGTTGCTGCTGGCCTTAGAATTTCTTTCTTTGAAAATTTTCTTATAAGAGCTAGAACCCAAGAGTTGTTGTAAATAAGCTTGGTTATTTTTTTTGCTTTTGTAAGTGTATTCTTATGTTGAGGTAGCTTGCCAAGCTTCTCAAGAATCAAATCTATATAATGTGCATCACATGGAGTCCAATACAGATGTTTCCTTTTCTCTATAAGTTTGTTACCTGCAACCTTGTAAAAACTTGCATTATCTATCACAACTTATAGAACCAAATGTTCTCCAACCTCCTCCACACTACTATCTAATAATCTAAATATGAACTCAGCATCTTTGACCTGGTCAGATGCTTCAACTGATCTTAAAAACACAGTACCATAAGGATTATTAATGAGAATTTTGATCAGACTTCTATGTTTAATATCAGACCACCTATCTGACATAATTGTTACTTCTGTTTGGGCCCAAGTCCTCTTAATTTCTTCGATGCTTTTATCAGTGCTTTCCAACTCCTCATTCAGAATCCATGTTCTCAAATCATACATGGTTGGAGGTTTGATCCCTCTCCCAAATGCTCCAACTGAACGAATCAATTTATAATAGGCATGTGATGTTGCAACATTAAATGGAATTGCATTTTCGTAGAAGAATCTGCCTATATCCTTACACACTCTTTTTCGTGCCTCCCTTGCATTTTCTAGTGCCATCTTCTATATAGTAGGAGGCATGTCCTCTGATGTGTCTACCATATAATGATCCATAGGCCCTCTAGACCCCTTAGATGAAATGAGCTTCATCGAAGAAGATGAATCCCTAACGCTGCGCTCACTCCCGTAGTAAGAGCCAACATCAACTCTATCCTCAAATTGCTTCTGTGCAAGATATTTTGACGTGGTATATTTATTCATGTATGATTTTATCTCCTCCATTACAGTATCAGGAACTTCAGAGCATGGAGCAAAATTCTTGTGAGACCCTAAAAGGTGATCTTTCATCCTAGCACCACCCTTCACAACTTTATCACAGTTTTGCGATTCGCCTCTCTCCACTGCTCTGTTCGCGATTTGCCTTGACGAACGGCACAAAGGTCTGACTGTGCTACTATGTTTGTAATTTTCCTTCCATCCTCTGCGCGATGGACGAAGCTGAAATTGGAAAAAAGCTGGGTATCTTAAATTTAGCATTGCTTAAGAGGAAAAAAAACCTAATTTTCTATTTGTTGCAAATGGGATTTCACCTCCCAGCAGCTCTGTTCACAATTTGCCTCCCCGAGCGCCATTTCTTCGGACGAAGCACCAAGGTCTCACCTCCCCCCAAGCACCATTTTGCGATTTGCCTCCCTCTACTGCTCTGTTCGCGATTTGCCTCGACGGATGAGGCACAAAGGTTTGTCCGTGCTACTCTGTTTGTGATGTTCCTCCCAGCCTCTGTTCGATGGACGAAGGGACGACCGCCGCCCTGTTTGACGTCTCTGAAATCTGCTCGATGCTGGGTATCTTAAATTCAGCGTTGCCTAAGAGGAAAAAAAACCTAATTTTCTATTTGTTGCAAATGCGATTTCGCCTCCCAGTAGCTATGTTTGCAATTTGCCTCCCCGAGCGCCATTTCTTCGGACGAAGCACGAAGGTCTCACCTCCCCTTGAGCGCCATTTTGTGATTCGCCTCCTTCCACCGCTCTGTTCGCGATTTGCCTCGGTGGACGAAGCACGAATGTCCGTTTGTGCTGCTCTGTTCGCGATTTGCCTCCCAGCCTCTGTTCGACGGATGAAGGGACAACCGCTGCCCTGTTTGACGTCTCTGAAATGTGCCCGATGCTCGACAACCTCGGTGATGCTCGACAACCTCGGCTTCTCCTTCGCCTCAGTTGGTCATGGATTTCGCTCGGCCTCCTCTTTAGCCTTTAGGTAATATAATTTTAACTGCTTGAGGTACAAATATGTTTTCTTCTACGACATTCTTGTCTCTTAATCGTTCTTATGAGTTATTTGTGCACTAGGGTTTGTATTCTTTCTTCCATTGCATTCTTGATCGATCTTATAAGTTTTCATGTTGATTTTCATATTGTATCATGTTTTTTTATGTTATCTAGATAATTAAATTTAGAACAAATTTTATGGAGAAATATTTTAAGAAAATTTCAAAGAGTTCAAATGAGACAAACTAAGAAGATGAGGAGCAAAATTGAAAAATAATTCGGGTGGAAATTGAATCATTAAAAAATCTTGAAGTAGGCTTAGAGAACCTTCCATCTGATCCTGGTTTGCGAATTCCTATTTCTGAATTTACACTTAATATTCAAGATCAAGTTTGACGGTCGTACTTTCAAAGAGGTCCATTCCAGCATCGCACTCATGAATTTCCCAAAACTAAATTTGGGGCAAAGGATAGACGATTCAATGCTGTGTGGTTTGATAAATATTCTAATTGATTAGAATACAATATATGCAAAGATAAGACATATTGTTTATATTGTTATCTATTCAAAGCAGCAGGTAGAGGAAATGAGGATGACGATGCATTCAATAAGAATGGATTTTCAAATTAGAAAAAATCAGATGAATTTGAACTTCATGTTGTGGTCATAATAATGCGCATAATAATGCACGACATAATTATGAAGATTTAATAAAGCAATGTTAACATATTGGTTTTATGTTTCAGAAGCAATTAGATTATGCTACAGCTGCATATCCTACTCGGCTAAATGCATATGTTGATTGTGTGCATTTTCTTTTAAGACAAGGACTAGCTTTCAGAGGACTTGATGAGTCTGACACATCCAGAAATCAATAAAATTTATTTTTACTATTGCAGTTTTTGGCTGAACATAACAATGAGATAAATAATGTTGTGCTTAAAAATATTATGGAAAATTTAAAATTAACTACACAAGATATTTAAAGGAATATCATAAGAGCTATATCGATTGCTATCACATATTTCATAAAGAAAGAAATTGGAGAGAACTACTTTTATATTCTATTTGATAAAGCATGCGACATATCTTCAAAAGAGCAAATGACTATTGTGGTTCGATTTGTTAATGGAGAAGGACAGGTAGTTGAACGTTTTTTAGGTATTGTTCATGTCCCAGATACGATGGCTAGAAGTCTAAAAAGATCTATTGAAGAAATGCTTTCAACTTATGGTTTAAGTGTATCCAAATTGCGTGGTTAAGGATATGATGGAGCAAGTAATATGAGTAGGGAGTTTAATGGGTTAAAAGCATTGTTCCTAACTGAGAATAAGACACCACATTACATTCATTGTTTCTCACACAAACTCCAGTTAGCCTTAATATTTGTAGCGAAAAATCATGTTCAATTTGCTCTCATATTCACAGTAATTTCAAATATGTTGAATATTGTTAGTATTTCATAGAAGCGTCACGACCAACTTCAAGATAAACAATGGGAGAAGACTTAATTGAATTACAGAATGAAAATCTTATAATTGGACAAGAGTTGAATCAAGAAATATCTTTGAGGCTATCAGGTGATACACGATGGGGATCACACTATGAATCAATTATAAGATTAATTACATTGTTTTCATCAGTTATTGATATTCTAGAAGATGCTGTCGAAGATGGTATAAGTTTTGAAAAGAAAGTCGAGACATTCGCATTATTAGGGTCAATGCAATCGTTTAAATTTACATTTTTCTTGTTATTGATGTAGGATATACTTGGTATAACTGTTAAGCTGTCCCAAGCTTTGCAAAGAAAAGAACAGGACATTGTAAATGATATGCCTTTGGTTCGACTATGTGTAAAAAGACAACAAGATATGAGAGATAATATATAGGAAGAGTATATCACCAAACTAACTTCTTTTTGTGAGCAACAAAAATAGATATTCCACATATACATTATAGATGGGTTACTCGAGGATGGCCTCGTCGTAGAGCTCATGATATGACAAATTTACATCACTTTCAAGTTAAAATTTTCTACACAGTTATTGATATGCAACTTCAAGAATTAAATAATCGTTTCATAGAGACGGATTTTGAGTTACTTATGTCTATTTCATGTTTGAATCCAAATAATTCATTTTGTGCATTCAATAAAGGTAAATTAATTAGAATGACAAATCTTTATCCATTTGATTTTAGTCATGTTGAATTAGCAATTATAGATAATCAGTTGAAAACTTATATCATGGATATGCAGTGTGATCCACAATTCTCATTGTTAAAAGATATTGGATGCCTTGCTAACACGATGATGCAAAACAAGAAGGATATTTTATATCATTTTATTTTTAGGCTATTAAAACTCGCTTTAGTTTTGGCGGTTGCAACAGCAGGAGTGGAAAGAACATTTTCTGCAATGTCTATCATTAAAACTTGACTACAAAATATGATTGTATATCAGTGGATGAATGATACTTTACTCGCCTATATTAAGAAGGAAATATTGCATTGTATTGTTAATTATGTAATTATTAATCTTTTTCAAAATATGAAAAACAGGCGCTACAAATTGTAAGTGTTTTTCATCTTATATTTTGAATTCAATCTCATAAATTTTTTTTTTTAAACTGCCAATGCTGGTCCTAAGGCCGGATGAAAAATAATGAGGGAATTTATTTTAAAAAAAATAATTTGTGCCCCCTCTAAAAGAAGTTTTTAGCTCATCCACTAGATGCCGGGAGGTCGCCGAAATTTCACTAGAAACATTTCTAGACTTATAAATTTAAGAGCTTCAAATAAAACTCAATTAAAATTCAAATTCACTAATCAATAAATTTAAAATTAATTCAAAATAAAATTGAAATTGACTAGTTTAACTAATTGGACTCTAATCAATTTAAGGCTTAAAAATTAATAAACCAAATTAAATGACTAATCAATTAAAAATTAACTGATCTATGAAAAAAAAAGAATTAATTTAAACAATTAAATAACTAATCAATTAAAAATTAGTTAAAGAAATTTAAACAATTAAATAACTAATCAATTAAAAATTAACTGATCTATGAAAAAAAAAAGAATTAATTTAAATATCGATTAATTTACCAAAATAAAATCAGAAACCTTAAAATAATTAAAAAAATTAAAACTCAATTTAATTAACAAATGGAACAATTAATTAAATTTAAAAACCTTTAATTTAATTAAATTAAATTAGAAACCTATGTAATTTAAATAATTAAGTAATTTTAAAATGTACAATCAATTTTAAAATTCAAATTAATGAGTAGAGTAATTGATTTTAAATTAAAACTTAATTCAATTAAAAAATTGTTTAACTAATTCACTTAATTAATTAATGCAATTAGATTAAATTTATATTATGTAAATGCATATGCCCTTGTTGTCATATATATATATATACACACACAAACACACACAAATACATATATAGTTAGGCATTATTTGTATAGTTAGGCTAAATAAAAAAAGTTCAATATTTGTTAGTATGTAAATGCATATTTGTATGTATATCGACATATCAAGTTATTAATGTTTCTTTGGTTTGTTTTTTTGTCCACAAACGAGTCATTTAGCCAAACCTGATTTAATTGAGTGTGACTTAAGTGACACAACTATGCTAAGTCAACAAATATTAAAACTCAAATTTTTTTGTGTTATATGCATCAGCATTTAATGTTGATTTTATGTTCTATTGTACATCTTCCTATGTGTAAGCATAATATGTATTTTGTAATGCTTACTTGCAGGCCATGTCAGTGGCTAAAAGAGTGTCTGATGAACGATGTGAGTCTTGTCTAGGTGGTGAAGGGTCATTAGTTGGCTATCAGGTTCGCCTTGATAGTGTCAGGTAAAATTTGCTATGAATGATGTATCATTTTTCCTGATAATTAGCGATAATAAGCCCATGTCAAATATACTTGTGATAGGAGTGATGCTGAGGATGGCGGTGATTTAACTAATGACCATAGATTTTGTCACTTCAGTTTTATGCAATCATCATTTGCCTGATGACCACATATTTGGTTACTTCTGTTTTGTTCAATAATGATTTGCTTTATCCCAACCTTTTGGTACGTTGATTTGTCCTCTGTTTTGAATGTAGATATGGAATCCTAAATTGTTATCTTTCATGAAAAGAAGATATCAACCCACTTTTTCCTGCAGTTGATGCTTAAGATATATGGATGTTGATTAATATTTGTTTATAATATCGTAATAGTTTAAGGATGAGAAGAGAGATACTTCCAATTGATAACCGATTAATTGTTGATAGTCTTGTAGGTCCTGTATGTATGAATAGGTATGAATCACACTGCCCATAAACAAATGCCTATATGAAAACTTTCATTCTACACTGAATGACATCTTGTTGCAGCCCAAATTATATATATATATATATATATGATCATTTCTAAAGCACTAAGTAAGAAGACATGAAATGACTGAACTACAAAGATAGTGATAGAGATGATTTAACATGGTTGATCTTGGATAAAGTTGGATCGAGTGGAGTATTTTATATCCAACTTGTTTTAATTTATTTCCAAAATGTTCTATCTAGATTATTTTACTTGTTCAAGTGGCAAATAAACATATTCTAGAACAAAATAAAAGGAGATTTGCCAAAATTTTGGTGGGCATGGTTTATTGTTATATGATTGTTCGAGTATTTGGCAAACTTTGGGCATTATTGTTCAAATGCTTAGCAAGATTTGGGCTTGATCTATATCTATTGCTACATTGCTATATGGTATGCTGCAACACAAAACTACAATTCAATATTTTGTATTTCAAGGGGAAAAAAATAAGGTAAAAGCAGTTTGGTCCTCACTTTTTTGGGCATCAACAGTTTCTATCCATTGTTGCGTGTTGTTCTTGCGCAATAAATTTCATGCACGCATTTCTTGGCATCATGGCTTTGAAGGTTTGTCAAGGTGCCTCTTGTACCACCACTGCACGTCTTTCTTAATGTCGTGTGAGATAAATATAGGTAGTGGCGTCTCGTACAACACCCATGCTGTCACGACCCGGCCCGGTTAGCTCGTATATACGAGGCGGGAACGAATCGGACGTTCAGATCAATCACTAATCATCTTTCATGTAAACAATTTTTTTTTTTAAAAGACTTCAAGAACAAAAAGCGCCTCTAAACATTTTTATTTCCATTCCAAAGAGTGTTCACAATATACAAGATGGCAAACTTCTAACTAATCATGCTATGCACGCCATCCAAAAGTAAGGAACCATAACTAATAAAAGCAATAAAAGAACCGGTCACCCGTTGCGCGACGATTGTATGTAAACCTCGGGTGTTCTGCCATCACTTATGAGTACGTTTTCCTGAAAATTTTTCAAAACTAGGGAGTGAGCTACGCTTAGTAATTGACAACTACAGCTAAAGTTCATGTGCATAGAAAAGAAGATAACTTGGAGGTCAATAACAAGTGCTAATATATGTCTTAATGTTTGTCTTGAAGCATGTACTAAGTTGACTATGTGCTTAACAAGAGATATGCTTGCTTAACATGAGATATGTTTGCTTAACATGAGATATGTTTAACATGAGATATGCAATCGTATGCTTATCTTTTTATTCATATTATATACATCCGTCCCGAAGTACCGAATTGTACTGATCAGGTACACATCATTAATGACCATATCATTTTTATTTCGTTCCATATTGCCTCAAAGGCCGTATTTGCTCAAAGAGCCACATATTGGTATTCCGCCATCAACAATCACAAGCCATACATTTCATTTATCTCAAGCTAAGAGAGTACACATTTTATATATCATATGTATGATAGAGTTAAGCATGAAAATGATAAGAAGATGCTCATGCTCATGATTTCATATGAATTGCTAAGGAATTTTCTAACATATAATTTAAAACCATTAAGTAACAATTGAGCGTGAATATGACATATAGACTTTGAACATAAAATTTCTATCTTCTTTACTAACAATAACATAAAGCTAGATATATATAAAGAAATGAACATGTTTCCTAGCATATAGAGTCACTTACTCTCAAGCCTTTCTTTGCAAAATTTTCCGCATAAATCCTTATCACCTTTCCTTATTCCAACCTAAGGGAAAATATATTTTCAATTACTCTTACAAACATTTAAATCTCCAACATTGTTAATTTTATTTAAAAATAAATATTATTTTCGGATTTATCAAAAATCCTAAAATTTTGACTTTCAATATTTGATATTTTCATCACTAAAACATGTCAAAACATTCACTTCATCTAATTAGTAAATAATATTAATAATTTTCTGATTAATATTAGATAAAAATTAGGAAAAATATTTTTCTTTCAAATATTTTAACATGTTGTAATTGAAAATCTCTTTTCCCTTAGGTTGGAATAAGGAAAGGTGATAAGGATTTGTGCGGAAAATTTTACAAAGAAAGGCTTGAGAGTAAGTGACTCTATATGCTAGGGAACATGTTCATTTCTTTATATATTTCTAGCTTTATGTTATTGTTTGCAAAGAAAATAGAAATTTTATGTTCAAAGTCTATATGCCATGTTCACGCTCAATTGTTACTTAATGGTTTTAAATTATATGTTAGAAAATTCCTTAGCAATTCATATGAAATCATGAGCATGAGCATCTTCTTACCATATTCATGCTTAACTCTATCATACATATGATATATGAAATGTGTACTCTCTTAGCTTGAGATAAATGAAATGTATGGCTTGTGATTGTTGATGGCGGAGTACCAATATGTGGCTCTTTGAGCAAATACGGCCTTTGAGACAATATGGAACGAAATGAAAATGATATGGCCATTAATGATGCGTACCTGATCAGTACAATTCGGTACTCCGGGACGGATGTATATAATATGAATAAAAAGATAAACATACGATTGCATATCTCATGTTAAGCAAACATATCTCATGTTAAGCAAGCATATCTCTTGTTAAGCACATACTCAACTTAGTACATGCTTCAAGACATACATTAGCACTTGTTATTAACCTCTAAGTTATCTTCTTTTATATGCACTTGAACTTTAGCTGTAGTTGTCAATTACTGAGCGTAGCTCACTCCCTAGTTTTGGGAAATTTTAAGGAGAACCCTTTCATAAGTGATGGCGGATCACCCGAGGTTTACATATAGTCGTCGCGCAACGGGCGACAGGTTCTTACTTGTTTTTCCTAGTTATAGTTATTTTCTTTTGGGTGGTTTTTGTCATAACATGAATATATTAAGTTTATACCACCTTATACATGAACTTCTTCTTTTTTAATGGTTAGAATGTTAAATACACGTTTTGGAAAAGTTTAGATGTGCTTTTATGTTTCTATTGAAGTCTTTTGGGATTGTTATATATGAAATATGATGATTAAATTGTTTTGATCGTCCGACTTTGTTCCCGCCTCGTATTTACGAGCTAACCAGGCCGGGTCGTGACAACTTTCTTATTACGTTGATCTTGACCTCAATATTTTGCATCAAATTGCATCATATAATGACACGGTAATTTGAGATACCGCATGGAGATAGCTCATAAACTAGACATTTATAGTCTACGCATTTCTATACGAAGCCATCTCAAAGGCTTTAGATACGGTCAAATATATAAATGGAGATGCTTTAAGGTCGTACTAGCAAATATAGTCAAAAAGTAATAGTTTTATGGCGATGATGGGAGATGGAAATGGGATGATATGTCAGAGTTCACAATTAATATGCATTTATTGGTCGATAACTGGATGACCGATGCAATTCATAGCTGTTTTTTTTTATCAAAAGTTAAAAAATAAGTATCGTAATAGGACTAAAGATGATGCCAAAGACATAAATAGTAGATTAGTGAGAGAATACTTTATAGCCGTGGTGATGTCAAATTGGCCAAAAATTCTGCTCCTTTTTTCTCCCAAACTTGTTCATTCACACTCCATCTGTATGTCTTTCCCCTTGCAGACTTTTTTTTTTCAGAGAAAAAGGGCTGGTCCATGCTTAACTGGCTTGATCAACTTTAAAGTTGGTCCAGTCCTCTAATTTCTAAAAAGTAAGACGAGTTCTTTTCCTGATTTCAGACAATTTTAAGCCAAAAAATGAATCATAAAGAATAGAAAGGTTCATAACATTTCAGAAACATCCATAATACTTGCTCGCACATAAAATGTGCTTAAAATCTCAAATTCTTAAAATGCTGAAAGTTCACTTTAAATTACATTTGTGCATATTGTGGAAAACGAATTTCACTAAAATATAATTCAAGAGGGCAACAGATTGTGAGTGGGGGATTGGTTTGGAGCAGTGGTTTAAGTTTCTTCTCTACAAATGCATGAAATAGGTTAAAATAGTTTCTCTGCAAATGCAGGAAATAGGTTCTAAGTCACAAAAAATAGTTTCTGTGTAAATGCAGTGGTAAGGCTGTTATATCAGTCCCGTCTTAAACCAGGGATTGGCAGGATCTTCCCAAAAGATAAGGACAAAAGATTGTAATTTCAAATACGGATAGCTTCAATCAGTGTCATTACAACTATTGAGCTAATTTATCATAAGTTCTGAGCAATATTTATCAAATCCCAACCTCTTTTAACCTTTTTTATAAAATTAGAAACAGGCCCTTTACTCAGTGGCCTGAGGTAAGCATGGATGTCAACTCCCAAGAAATTAACATAAATGATTATTTTAGTACTTAGGGTCTTTTTAGTGCAGTTGAAGCTGCCTGAAAAGAGAAAAATTCAGTTGTGAAATTGCCATAAGATAAACTATTGTTTCAAGTTATCATATCATTTCCTTAAATTATAGATTAAATAATTATAAAACCTTATAATGAGAAACTACATAAGGCAGCTGCGCCATCAGAATGTCGGATGATGAATTCTGCCAAGAAAA